AAACGAAAACAAAAGGAATTTCAAAAATCGTGACGTGACATTTTGGGTTTGTTTTTTACGGGACTAGAAAGCCATAAAACCACTGTCAGACCTGTCAGACCTGTCAGACCTGTCAGACCTGTCAGACCTGTCAGCTTGACACTCAATCCTCCCAATGGGTTTCAACGTGAAATATCGTTTCAGCGGAAATTGCGAAACTGCCGAATATGTCAAAAGAGGAACAGTATTTTACTATTCATATCAGACAAGAAGATCAACTTAATTGGTAAGAAATATATATTACAAATCTTTTTATTCGTATGAATTTATTGGACATTTTCTATGATGACATTCTTATTGTTCAATTGTCAATATACATATTTAGATGTSTACGTTTAATAGACTTGATGAAGACGACCAAATCCTTTTTTATCAGTCAAAATTCGCCTACTTTTTCAGTTAATTTTCGATTACCTTGGTTAGAAAATGAGAATTGGGAAGAAGTGACACCTATGCTACACTTGCAGAATTTCATTTGTGYTTGATTTAGAAAGGTATATCTAGATTTGTGACTACACCAACTACTATAACTACAATAGTTAGATAGTTACCAATTATACAGCTTATAAGGGTATAATTAATATAGTCAAGTGCATTATATTTGAAGACCAGCCAGGTTGCAATCAACGCGTCTCTGCGGAAGTTAAAACTGCCAAAACCGTCAAGAAAAAAATGTACTTATTTGATGTAGAAATACGAAATACAAAAATCCTCAACTTGTTACGCAACTGTTGGTTGTCAAGTTTAGCTTACGTGTTAGTTTTCGTTATTACATGGGCTTCCTGKGTTGTTCAAGACGCGAAGGCCAAAAACTATATTTGGCGGATCGTCCCCGTATAGAAGGGGAGTATGGCAGTGKGGTTGCTGTCCGATGCGACRTCATGTTAGAGAAAATAGGGTAGCTGGAAAACGAGTCTAAATTTGCTTGTCTTTTTTGATAATACGCGTATTGAACTCCCGCTCCCAAACTTTGCCAAGAAGGTTGAAGATCGACTATTCACTTGTTACTTTTTGTTAACAGGGAACTCGAGAACAGCCTGATAATAAGTGTACGATAAGATGCAAAACCAAAAYGTCAAACTTGCAGCTCAACTAGTAACAAAGCGATTACATCAAGAAAAGGGTAACTCAGTAACCGACCAAGCAGGAGTTCAGCATGGACAGACGTCATCACAACACGCTGGGCAGCTTAATGAACAACGACTTCATGGGCAAACACATGAACAGGCACAAACACATCACCCTGGACAAAACAATGCGCAGGGAGTAACTATRYCACAGCAACCACAAGGGACTCAATACACGCAGGATCTGGACRAACCAGGGGTCACCAAGGGTCATCCGTATGCACAGCATCATGGCAAAGCACATGAAGCACCTGATCAACCCTATTTACAACAATCAGGATACACAATTCCCTCGGAACCAGTTTCACCCAGAAGTCCTTCGGATGACTTTGGCGACGTCTACAGGACTGGAAACTTTGGGATACACTTTGGCAAGGTCAATTTTCCTCGAGGTAAGCGGTGGCTTCTTGCTCACGGAATACTTTCTTTTTTCATGTTCGTCTTTACATTGGCTGCCACCATYATGATGAGAGATTATACAAACACAGTCTTCAAAGACATGCTATTAGCATTCACCTGGATGGCCGCCCTGCAAGACTGGATGCTCTTKGCAAGCGCTGCCTTCTTGCTTTACAAACTTTCAACGTTGAAAAACCCTCTTACAACACTCATGGTGGTGAGAACATGTTCAGCACTTACTTTTGCGCTTAATCTGTTCTTCTTCTTAGTTGGTCTTCTTGGTCTGCTCATAAATGAAGCTGACTTTCTTCGACTKACATCAAAAGAAGTTGGATTCCTTAAGTTTATGTTTGTGATGATARCCATTCTCATGGCTGCAAAGATAGTAACTGGATATTCCTTTGTGTTCATGTGGTGGAAGAACCGCGAATGYTGTCGTTGTCTTGCTGGATATTGTGTATTTGAGGAAGGAGCTGAGCTTGCTCCAGGTGTTGCCAATTCAACGGGAACACAAAATATCATCGCCTTTGGACAAGGAGCTGCAGCATTTGGTGAAGCAATGAACAGGTCTTAGGAACGATAAGAATCTCAATGCATGGAATTAATTAACAATAGGCCATTTGCAACTGGGAGTCACGTGACCACACCTACCTTAAATTTGAATTTTGAAATATTTAGTGTTGAGACTTCAAACTACAGTATGTCTTCTAATTACTTATTTTGATCCCCTCTTTCCATTTCTGAACATCATTTTATCATTGCTTATTGAATTAAGGTAGGTGTGGTCACATGACTCCCAGCTGCAAATGGCCTATTAGACGGCKAGGTCAAATGGACTACTTAAAAGGTAGAGAAGTTGAACCGAGTGCTTTATGCTGTGACAGTTTCCCGAGAAAAAAAGTTGCCCGAGAACGCAGTTCGATATGGACTATGAAGTTYTGATGGACATCCATGCTTCAAAAGCAACTWCATGTAACACAGCATAATGCCARAGATTTAAACGACTCAATTGTTTTTATTATTCAACAAGAAAATTTCTGACACAGCTGGTTTTATGTAATAYATAAACTATGAGCAGGAGACCTTGYAGCTTGCAGTTTTATATGCCCATAAAGGTCGGAAGCAAATATTTTATATTGCTTATCAAATTCCAACATTGCATGTAATAAACTTGTCGTTATGTTAACATTATGACCTTTTCCAAATGATATTCATGAACCATTGAATTTGAAATGACTGCAGCTCTCTTCCTCAATAACTATAGTTAGCTACTTCTGGTGACGCAAGCAAATTGCTGTTATGAACTTTGATGATGTCAGACCTGATTGTGCTCAGTTTAACAGTTGGTGAAATTTCAGATATTAGAATTATCTTGTAYTACTGAATATCAAGCCATTTTGTTTAAAATAAAATACCTGGTATCTATTGACCTTTTGCTTGTGTATTCCCTAAAACCTCCACCTCTTTGCTTTAACTGAAATACAAAAATTTGTTTTTTAGTTTTTGTTTTATTAATATGTGCCTTTCATGACGATGCTATTTTGACTTTTTCTGACTTTTTTGACAATTCCCAACCTATGGGATGAGCCCCCAAATCTCTTCCCTGGCGTGTATTAATTTGAGCAATTGAACAGTTGATTTGAGGGAATTATGCTGTATTACTAGACTACAGATTTAGAAACTATATGTTCTAAAAAGCAACTAGTAACCAATAGCCCAACTTGAGGSCTACTATGAAGTTTTGAGGAACATCCAGTCTCCAAARGCAACTATTCACATCATAAGGAAGCGGCATGCTCTACACACTGATAGTATGTCTCCATTTAATTGCTTGGACTATCACCTCACATGATCAACTCTACATCAATGTCAGTAGAGGAAAATTGATAATTGATTTATAATTGCTAATAGGTTTTATATATGAATACTCACAAAAGAACTAAGTTCACAGGCTTACTAACCCTTTAACTATCAATCGTACATATTTGTACGATAATCGACCACTCTTTTAAAAAATTCCCTTTTCTCTGTTTAGTGGCCAAGGTGCTAACAAATGTATTGGTTGTGTTGTTTAGTGAATTACCTGCCTCCTAAATTCTAAACTAAGACTTCTTCTTTTTCTTGACGATTACAGTCAATTTTTTTTTGGTGAGATCTGAGCTGCACACACTTACAAGTTAGACAAGGATGCTAGAGAATTGCTTAATTTCTTTCCAGTTCTACAGCTCAAAATCCTTACATTCATGGCAAAGCTCAACTTTTTCAGGAAAATTGCCATTTTTACATGTACTTTATATTGGTCAGTCTATTGCCTATTGTTTTATTGAGCGAGCTGAGAAAAAAACTCCTTTTTTGGTCCCGATGCACATGTTTTCTTGGGTTACACTTGCACAGATTTATGGGTAATTGGGTATTTTCTTGACAGGGACTACCCAGTACTCTACATTTTAAATATTTTGCCAAGTCATTTGCTTCAACCCACAAAATGTCCAGCGGATTGCTTTTTTCAGAAGTCCAAATTTGCTAAARTTAGCATTGTAGGTAGTGAAGCCAAACACAAGACAGCCAGGGAGTCAATTTCAGTCCAGTAGCTCCATCGGCTTCAAACCAACTGACGATCACCATTTTCTTAGCAAAATCACTTCCCACCTCTGATTTCCTCCAGAGGAGTGCCTCTACTGCCTAGCCGAGCTTAATAATGTAAGTCTAGAGGMTCTTGTGCTTGAGTTTGACTTTAAAAAACACTTAAAACTTAAACTTAAAAAAGCTGTGTTTTGAACGAGCTGTTCGCCATCCAAAGACACAAGCAAAAACGTAGCAGGCATCCCTCGAGAGTTTGAGTGTTTTGCTATGTAAATCAGCATCAGTTCCCTTGACAACCRTGAAGTCAGTGCCAAAATCGTTTTTTGAAGCTTTTCACCTTTAARGCGCTTAAAAATTCCCCAGAATTTTCGTAATTAAAGAGTCAACTCATCACTTTTACTTAAAATTATTTGMTTACTTAAACTGTTTTTAACCTGTAATTTCAAGCTTATTAATTTGTTGATCGACATGATTTCTAGATAAGAAACTGCACACAAATTTTACAGTGCTCTATTTGCTTCTGACCATCCGCCCTTAGGAGCCAAGGGGCTCTTCAGTTTCTTTCTTGCAGTTTCAAGTCTTGAAGAATTTCAATTTTACAGTGAAATGTATGCRGGGGTGCATGAGTTTGCACYYCCTCATACATTCTCTGTTAAAATTCGCGACTTTGCAGAACTGTATCTTCTCATGTTTTTGACACATGACCTTCAAATTTGGCAGGCTTACTAATTTTAGGCTGCTGTGTCCAGTGGAGGCGATGAATTTTCGTTAACTGGTTTGTCTCAAATGGYGGAAATAACATTGATTTGGCCTATTGCATAAGACAGTGCTGTTTTCTATGAATTTGAAAAAAACTTTTGGGCTGATAAAAATCGTGATATTCTATTAAATTGCCAAATAAATTCACATTTCTAAGATTGCTACTGTAAGGAAGGGGGTTCCTGAACCCCTTGACTTCCACACTTTACTGCAGCAGATGTAAAATCACAAAACGCTAATGTACCTTCATAGCTTTCAAGAAGTGATATAACTAACCTTTGACATTCCGGATTTTATGTTCTGGTTGTCCCATCGACTCTTGTTGGACTTAGTACTTGTAAAAGACGACAAAGTTCCATMAGAGAGATAGGGTAGGAAAGGAGAGKGTGCATCATTTCTGGCTTTCTTTAACACCACGTCTGTAAGCAGCTTTTTGGAGTGATGTCGCGAATTCTCGTAGTTTGGTGTGCGTTGTCGTTTTGCAGGCGTTTGAATGGAGGGTAGCATTAATGTATAAACAACTAATTAACTTGRATCCATTGTAGACAGAAAACAGGTCGAACTAGTTGTCGACTCCAAACGGTCAAATCGTTTTCGCTAGAATAAACAGTCGAAAAATGTTCTCGATTACTGCGATTAGACTCAATAGAGTGTTATGAAGCTTAACTGAGGCTCTCTCGGCTATTAAGGCATAATTACGTTTATTTCGTAGATGATTACTGGCCACTTTGCGGTAATTTATTGTCCACGTTGCTAAGCACGCCTGAAGTCCCAGGAGAACATGCTGAGGTCGAGAAAAGCTGGGGTCGAATAACATGACGTCACAAACAAAAAAGATCAACATGTATTGATGATCCTCGCCTGCACGTTCTTTTGTTTCCACGTTTGGTTTTATACGATTGCCCGGAGCCACTTCTTATTATAAATTTGCCATCATTGATGAAACCACATGGTAATGATGGCTCATAGTCCTCATTGGGGACATCCTATTTTGTAGTAGCTATATTTTGAAAAACAGTGTAAGTGGGTAGGGCTCCTGAAGAGTGAATAGCCTGTGTATACATCCACCCCTCCAAAAACATCGGGGAGAGAACGTCGTACCCGATTTTTTCGGAAAGGTGAGACGGATGTACACAGGCTATCAGTCGACGGATTTTTGTAATTTTTGACATGTATAAAATGCTGACAATCTGTATATTGTTGATTAATAGATCGGTTAGGGTCAAGCTAATAAATCCCCAACAAACATTACTGTAGTACAAATATTATAATTCTCGAAAAAAGTTTCGAGTCGCCTCGGCCTAATTTTATTTCATGGCTACTYAAGGCTGTCAAATGCTATACCACATTAAAAATACTACATCTATTAAAAAAGAGTACTTGAAAAAATCTAATAAACCAGGAAAACTATTTACGGACAAACGTTTCCGGAGCATGGTCTCATAGTTATGAATAATTTATGACAACGTGGCATTGTTTTCAGAAATTGTAGACAACAGACGGCAGACTGTACGCAACTGTCCATTCACTTGAGASCAAAAAYAATAACRTCATGACGGATTTCAATGTTGCAGACCTAATTGCCAGCAAAAGAGATGGTGATCTGTTAACAAGGGACCAAATTCATTATTTCGCTAAGCGTGTAGCTTCAGGAGACGTGGCTGAATCTCAAATCGGTGCTATGTTGATGGCCATATGGCTGAAAGGAATGACAACAGAAGAAACCGTTTACCTAACGGAAGCTATGATAAATTCCGGATCTATCCTTGCTTGGCCTGCTGAGTGGGGAGGATGTATTGGTGATAAGCATTCGACTGGAGGAGTAGGTGATAAGGTTAGCTTGGTTTTGGCACCAGCACTTGCTGCTTGCAAAGTAAAAGTTCCAATGATTTCAGGTCGCGGTCTTGGACATACTGGTAGGTATTAAACCAAGCTGTGATCATGTGTTTTTTGCCATGACATCGTGAAGATGTCATTCAATTTCATTAGTTCCCGATTAYTTTATTTTCTCAGCATGGGTGCACGCACGTGTGCTTATAATGGCGTTACGTACATGCTGCCAAAGTGTTTATACATGCTTTAATGCCTGGCAAGAAGTTCAAGTTAAAATATGTTCGTTTTCGCAAATACAAAAGTTACTAAGCAAGACCTTGGTTATTCCTAGRTTCAATAGGTTAATCGATGAAAATAGTGATSTAGTCTTGACTGGCGGACACGCAACTTGAAAACAAACTGCCATGCATAGTCACAGTTTTATATATTTTGACTATTTCCATCGTGTCATTTTAAAAAGAATGCCTTACTAGTATTATTCTTTCACCACGAGGGCAACGTAGACATGATGACGATTAGAGTACATGTTTTTAGACAATCAAAATAAAACCCCTGTCAACAGAGATATATTCATAATATTGACTATATGTTTACGTATGGAATTATTGATGTGCGCTATGCCAGGGCTTCAGTATACCTAGAATGTTTACCATGGCCTTTGCATACTGTACTCTCTTGTGATTGCTGGGCTCTTTACGAGATTATAGAGTATAAAGAGCGTTTCTATACCTACATAAATTACAAATTCCTAAGGATAAATCAATCACAATTATTATAGAAAAACTGGAAATATCTTATCAAATATGTTTTATTGYAGCAGTCATTCTAATTCCAATCTTCAGGGATTATAGATTTTCAATGCATAATWAGTTATGCATAACTAATCTCTTTATTTTCCAACAATAGAGTACAAACATTAAATGTGTGCAACACTTTCCACTATTTACTACAAAATAGTGTTAATTAAACAATAGAAAACAATAGAATTAGYATAATTTAGCAGTATTTAGTGGTATTTATATTGCACAGTTTTAGTGTTTGTATACTACTACACCGATTATCGGTATTATTTACTTACAATAATAAAAGCCCCAGAAAAAATATCCTGCAATTGGATTGGTTTAGAGGGGGCGTAGTATTAAACCATTAATATTATTAAATCACTATATATAGTTCTTTTCTATTAACTATAGGCTTTCCGAGTGTTACATTTACCAGAGATAACTATTGATTATATGCATAAACAACATGTATTTGCTTTTGGCCTGCTAATTCAACCACTCATTGATCGCCAGTACAATCATCTCAACATTTTATTTGTTTATTTTTTTTATAAGGTGGAACTCTACACAAGTTAGAATCCATTCCAGGATTCACAGTCAATTAATCATTTCAACATTTTATTTGTTTATTTATTTTTATAAGGTGGAACTCTACACAAGTTAGAATCCATTCCAGGATTCACAGTCAATCAATCATTTCAACATTTTATTTGTTTATTTATTTTCATAAGGTGGAACTCTACACAAGTTAGAATCCATTCCAGGATTCACAGTCAATCAATCATCTCAACATTTTATTTGTTTATTTATTTTTTATAAGGTGGAACTCTAGACAAGTTAGAATCCATTCCAGGATTCACAGTCAATCTAACTCCAGATGAGATGTTGAAGGTTTTACAAAGTGTTGGCTGTTGCATTGTGGGACAGACTGAGTCATTAGTACCAGCAGACAGAGTGCTATATGCAATCCGTGACATAACTGGCACAGTGGCTTCAATTCCACTAATTGCTAGCTCAATTGTTTCTAAAAAGGCAGCAGGTACTTCAGCATAGTTTCAAATGTGCTTGAAAAATGTTAGTCGAAACATTTTGTTTTGAATTTCATTTTTTCTGAAAACTGGGACAGATCTGATGCTAATAATACCTTCTGGAATGATGCTGAAGAGAAAGATTACAAAACGGAATTCAAAATAATTCACAAAAACTGTAAAGTTGTTCATAAGTGTTTCTGTTATATAGAACATAAAGGTGTACTTTTGAGTCATTTGGAAATTTTAGAAAGAATACGGAATCCTTTAGGCTAGTGGAAACAGCATTATCAAATTCATTAATAATTCATAAGGCAAACACAATCATGGAAAAATATTGATGTGACCTCCAACCTCGTCCCCAGGGCCATCTCGGCCGACTCCBTTTYAAGRTGGYGGTCGTCGGGGAGATGACCCTGGCGTTGGCTGGAATCACGTGATCAAAACCTCCAAGATTTTTGGAGGTTTTGATCACGTGGCTTATCTATTCAAAATGGCGCTCGAAACGTGAACCCAACGGTTTCACAAACTGGGATAGCTGTGGTGGGTCGGTATTTGCTTTGTTTTGATGATTTATTTGAAAAATGTCCTGCCGTCATCGGCAGTGTTGACCCCTAGACCGCCTACGGGAGTAGATCCAGTTCATTCTAGAATTCTTGAGGGATCCGCTCACTGCAGAAATCGGCGAGTAGAAGACTTCATATTAAACATCGAATGCTATCGCTAAATATATCCGTCAAGTTACAAACCACACATTGGACAAGAGAGACATAAGAGGACAACTGACAAGAATTCCAAAGAAAATCGTTGCTTTTTAATCGACAAAACATACCTTAATTAAATTTCGGGAATATTTGAATAAAAACAAAATAAAAAAAAAATAAATCAATAACCGATCAAAGACCTAAAGGCTATCCGGACATACCGACAGTGTCGAACACATCCCGACCTATAGACGAACATAAACAGCCAATAATGAGTGATATAAGAAAAGGCATTTTGAATAGCCAATCAGAAAGTAGCTTAGTTCAGCCAACGCCAGGGTCATCTCCCCGACGACCGCYATCTTGAAAAGGAGTCGGCCGAGATGGCCCTGGGGACGAGGTTGTGTGACCTCATCTTAATATTATGAGAAAGAGATTTGTCCTGATTTGCATATGACTTTAACTTCAATTTCTCTTAAAAATAATTTTTTAGCAAAATATGCTTTAATTTAGCTTATGTTGGAATTTGTTGAAATTCGATAAGCAATAAAAAGTATTCACATTCGACCTTTTATGGGCTTTAAAATTAAATGAGCTTTGGAATTTTTGTTTTTGTTCTGTATTACCCGAATCACTTCGTTTGTTTGTTCACTTAGAGTCATTGTCAGCACTAGTCTTAGATGTAAAATGTGGTCGTGCAGCATTTGCCTCGTCATTATCAACAGCCAGGCAACTTGCAACAACACTGGTGAACACTGCTGAAGGCTTGGGAGTGAAGTGTACCGCACTTATCACACAGATGGATCATCCCATAGGCAAAGCTATTGGTAATTCTTTAGAAGTAGTTGAATCTATACAGTGTCTCCATGGTGATGGGCCTGATGATCTTGAAGAACTTGTTTGTTTGCAAGGTATGCAAAAAGTAAAATAGATTTTGATGGACAGGGACAAATGAAAAAAACATAAGATTTAGTAAATGGGGACAGGTAATCGACTGTTTGTGGACTACATACATATTTGAGAATATAACATAAAATTGTAAAAAGACTAGAATGCGTTTTTCCTAGAATGAATGATTCATTGTTTTATTGCTAMAAGCTGGTTTCATATGAAAGCAAGAACCACCCGCTAAACRAGATCTTTAGCAAGCAYGACCTAAAACTCAGCTATTCCTGCATGCCTAAAGTAAAGTCCATAATCTCGTCACACAACAAAAAAGTACTATCTGACAAATAACACCGAACAAGTTCAATCAGACAAAGAGTGCGAAAGCAGAAACAAGAATGAATGCCCCTTGGAAGGAAAATATCTGCAGACGAATGTCATATACCAAGCGACAGTAACAACAGAAACGACAAAAGAAACATACATAGGACTAGCCACAAACTTCAAAGAATGATACAGAAATGTAACTTGCCTGACGAGTGTGGCCATCTCTGATGACCATACGACACCAGCTTGTAGCAACAAAACAATGAATCATTCTAGTCTTTAAAGTGCAAATGAACTCCAGTTGTTCTAAATTGTAGGATAATCTATCGTATTACAATAGTAACATACCGCAAGAACATTTGGAATTGGATGAATTCCCGATGTTTATCGTTATTTTGAATTTCCCACCAGTTCGTAAAAATGCGCACTCTTTGAAATCAGGGCCCTGGTGCGAATATGACGTCAACTAAGGAATCGTCTCTTACATTTCCGGGGAATTTCAAAGTAAATGGTGGAGATTATAAGCTATTCATTACTGTTACAAACGCCTTAGAATTATAAGCCAACWTTAGATAATATTTTGTCAATATATCAAGCGATGTGAGAACGTTGGTTCCTTAGTTGACGTCATACTAGGCTCGATTCAGGCCCCTATGATAATTCGCGGCCATTTGGGGATTATCGAAAATTTATTAACTTTAATGATTCACAAAACAATGAGCTTTTAACCGATTTCCATGAATGCACCAAGAAATATTTTATTTTTTCATGGTGGTTTTCCTGAACTTTGGAAAAAATAGAGTTCATTTGCACTTTAAGTACAATTTTATTTTATACATGAATGCTCCTTATTAAAGTTGAGCACTTTTTTTACAAGTTATTTGAGAATTTATGTGTAGCCATTACCTTGGATGTGGATATATTAGAAAAGTTATGACTTTTAAAGGCACAATATTATACTATGATCTTTAATTTCAAAAATTATAAATATATGAATACAAAGTGGTTTACCAAGAGCTACGAAGAATGGGTTCCTAGTTTATTCTATTGAAAAAAAACGTGAATGGTTTTATAGGAGGGTTTTTTTTTCAATACAATGAACTATTCTTTATAACTCTCAGTAAACCACTTTGTATTTGCATTCACTGATGAAGCCGTCAAAGTCGAAATGTCTGAAATTAAAGATCATAGTATAATTGTGCCTTCAGAAGCCATACCTTTTCTAATATATACATACATTTTTACCACAAAATTCCAATTCTGATGATGACCCTTAAAAATCCACTTTTTAATGAATAAATTAGAATACGTTTTAAATAAACAATATAGAAAGCAGCAGATTCAAGGAGTATTCAAGAGTTTTGTGTGGTTTTCCTATTTTCAAGGACTTTTTAAAACATGGATTTTYAAGGATTACAAGGAGTAGCACAAACCCTGTATGTAACATTCCACCTTTGTGTTGCTGATWAAGAAAAAGTTTTTCATGGCAAATTTTTAGTTTTTCAATGCCCAGTAATATTCTGCCCTGTAAGTAATATTCATGTTCCTTCGTCAAAGGTGGATACCTACTTCACTCTCTTAAGAAAGTCAAGTCAAGAGAAGAAGGCAGTGAGTTCATCAAGAAGACTCTACAGAATGGCATGGCAATCAAGAAATTCAAAGAAATGTTAATTGCACAGGGTGTTGCCCAGAATATTGCTGAGACTCTGTGCAAGAAGGGTGCAAATCCCTATGACCACATCCCTTTGGCACCACAATCACATGAGTTCAAAGCAAAGAAAACAGGGCATATCAAAGATATCGATGCCTTGCATTTTGCAACAGTATGTGGCAATCTTGGAGCAGGACGTCAGAAGGTTACAGATAAAGTAGAGCATGGTGTAGGCATAACACTGAATGTGAGAGTAGGTGATTATGTCAAGGAAGGAGAGGTATTGGGTGTGGTATACCACAGTGGTCACTTGACAATTGATGCTGTCAACAGCTTACAAGAATCAATTACAATTGAGGTAAATGGCAGTGGAGAATGCTTATCAGTAAAATCCAGGCTTATTGAAGTGGTTGACAGACTYGAGACAACAAATGGTATTTTTGTTGGACAGTAGCTTGCTGAATCTAGCAGTATAACCAGTGTGTAAACTATCCTGGTATTTCAATAGTATTTCAATATTTTTTTGAAATAGACATTGAATCTAATATTAATAATACTTAATAAGTACAGAACAAACAATACASCTGTAGAATGCTTCCTGTGAATAACTAGAGAGGACATTACTTAATCCATAAAATAAATATTTAACACTAATTACTACTAAAAAGTGTTGATTAAACCAATAAATAACAAAGGAATTACCATAACTCTAATAATTTTTGTTAGCATCTGTCGTAGATATGTTTTGTTTACTTTATTTATAGTGTAAATACTAGTAAGAGTGTTGTAAATACAACAGCTAGACGAGTTCACAATACTTAATGAGTTTGTAAGATTTCTTGTGATTGGAGGAATAAATTGTAACAAGCTGAGCATAGTAAGGTACAAGCATGTTCTGTTTTTGTTTCTTCTTTATTTTACAATTACGYMGTCTGCGTGAATATTACGCTTCAAATTGGTAGTGCCTGCGTTGCAGATGGTCTGCAGTCTCAGTTTAATTTACAGCTGCTCCACTAATGGCTGTAAAACAATTTATCTCTTTCGTATTGAGTCGTTTATGGGAGAAACTTTGTGCCTACAGTATTGAAGCATTTAGTTGAGAAGTGTCACACTACTTCCATATATGGTTGTGCATGTAAATTTAAACTGACAAGTAATTTTTGAAGTAGGAGCCTGAACCTTATATTTTCCCTAAACCTAACAATTAAGTTCATGAGATCAAATCCCTTGAGTGAGTCCTGACTTTGGTGATATTGGGTAGTTCCAGAAAATATCCATACCCCTACGATGGGCAGCACCAATTTTTGATGCCCCCTCTCCTTCAGAAATTCCAAAATCGGCTTGCCCCCTATCCCCAGGGATTCCAGAATCCTTAGTTTACTATAGAACTATAGAACTTTACTATATGAAACCCCCCTCCCTCTCAGAATTCCGAAAACCGAAACCCCCCAGTCACCATCGTAATTCCAAAATGCTGCCCGTCGTAGGGGTATGGATATTTTCTGGAACTACCCATTTATGAAACAGCATTCACAGATAAATATGTGTATGTACGTAAGATTGTATTATTGCATATTGTTATAATTAACAAACCTTCTATAGGAACATGAGAGCCTTCTATATGTAAATTAAACTCATTCATGACATCCATATATGGAAGTCGTACGATAAAGTCTACTCATTTAGTTGTCCTATTTCCATCATGTCTTATCTGATTACATTCATGTAAACAAACAGAAGCTGAAAGTAAAACCTTTTATTCAATGAGCAGCCAARACTGCAAAGTAATTCAATMATTACAAAGCACACAGTCAATTCACAATGAAAACACCACCTTTAACACTAAACTGCCATTGCTTTAAGATCTTTGATGCACTGGTTTATGCTTTCTTTCTCCTGAAGATAAAATGAAATATTASTTAGATATTCAAAACAATGGTGAAAAATGATGTAAAATAGCTCATAGCGGATGGATAAGAGTGTTTTCGTGGATCGACACAGAGTTCCCAGCTGTATGCACTTTGTCCTTGTTCACGTACCACCATAAAATTCTTGCCAGATTTACCAATGAAATTATTATATAAATATTTYTTAACATCATCAAAATCAATAAAAATAAACTCCCAACAAGAGCCGGCGCATTCAAAACATGGAAAGATTGATGCAATTTTAAAGTGTGACATGTTTACATGGTTAAGAAAAAAATGTACATAACCGTATTTACTCATGTATAAGCTGCACTTTATTTCCCAAAAAATCRTTCCAAAATCAGGGATGCAGCTTATCTACAAGAAGACTTCTAAAAAAGCCCCCCAAAATGGCTAATTTGCATAAATCTAAAATCTTTTTTATTTAAGGGTTCTGTTGTTTATAGAATGCWTTTTATTGGAAGCAAATGGGTAGTTCCAGAGGACATTTGCACCCTTTTGACGGCCGGCATCAATTTTAGACTCTTTCCCTTGGAAATCCCAGAGTCAGTAATCCCCCCCTCTCCATTGGAATTCCAACATCATAGTTTAACCCACTATAACATCCATTAAAGTAAATATTCTCTCCATTCTCTTTTAGGAAATAAAATAGGCACYTTTTTKTCTATCAATGAACCACTGACCAAATGAAGGGCAAAATGCRAAAATGGCATAATTTTTAAGTGACTTTTAAGGGTATTTTTGAAACTTTCATGAAATGGAAGAAAATCTTCAATCACTTATTTTATTCGGAATAATCATGTTTACTTGTTATTTCTCGTGATTTCCTTTGAAAAAGCAAAACAAAAACAAAGATATAGTCACAGACTGTACCCTCCCCTCCCCCCCAAACTTTAGATAAGGGTTAGCCTTAGGCAAGGGTTAGGGTTCCTATCACCCAAGACAGGGGCTAGGGTTCCTTGATTTGGGGTTAGGGTTAGGAGGGTTAGGTTTTGGGGATAGTATAGCTAAGGTTTAGGCTCCAAGTTTTAAAAGAAAACAYTCCCCTACCYCCCAAGTTCAAACTTGGCCTAARGGTCAAACTATTAAAGCCTTGACAACTAAACTTAACTTTTTTATACACAAAGAACACAAGAAACTGCAAATCACAATSTTTGCAATTGATAATTCTTTCCAAATTTGAATTCAGCGAGAATTACTTTTCATCGATTTCTCAGTCTATCCTTGTTATTTTGAGAAACTTTGCCTACTTGTCCAAGATGGCTGCTGAAACCATCACCTCAACTATCCTCAACTATTAAGTTTGTGGGTAGMAAAGGAGCTTACAGTGCTTGCTGACTGAATCTAGCTTGGCATGTGACTTTTTAAGTGATGTGGTTTCCATGTTTGATTTGGTGAAGTTGGACCACACTTAAAGAGAATCACTTAAAAGACAGTCTAAAAGCAAACCCTTGGAGCTACCACAGTAATTTTTGTATGTTTTGGCTATTGAGGACCACAACCAACTTGATATTGGTAGAATTCGATAAGGCTCTAGACTTTCTATAAATTTCTATTTAGAATRGATGGGAAAGTTGCTATTGCTATGTATAGTTTTTTTCACAGAATTCATTGCAGACAAGGATAACATGTGTTCAGAATCAGTGGCCAAAGAGAAAGCTGCAGCATGAGATGTTTATGGAAAATTTGAAAAATAAAATGCCTAGATGACAGAACTAGAACAGAATTTTGCAAACAGTGATTCGCTTGTATATAATCAAGAGTTTTGTGGGGAAAATCACAATAAAAGAGTGGCATTTTCACTCAGTACGAAATGCATTTCCCCCCTTTGTTCTAATGACTTAATCTTTCAAACTTAGTAGCTTATCCGTATCTTATCCATGATATTATCAACGCGCAATTTTACACACAACTTAACCAATCAGTAAGCATACAGTGMATACTTTGGAAATTTTAAAACATGGGAAATAAACCCTAATAGTACAGTAAAACTAACCCAACTAGTGCACCATCCCAAAAACCTAACTCTGCCATCATATTATAACCCTAACCCTAAATCAGGAACCCTCCTTGCTAAAGGCTAGCTGCAACCTCATGTACGGTGAGGGGAGGGTGCAGTCTGTAATTATGGGTCTTTTTCCCCCTGTTTRAAGGAAATAACAAGAAATAAGTAGCAAACATGACAATATTTATACTACAAATACCTGATTGAAGTGACTTTTTTTGATTAAGTGAAAGTTTTAAAAATACCCTTAAAAAATCACCATTTTCACAGCAGCAGAATGTTTACATCAATTTAGCAATCTATAGATAATATCACTCTAAATTTTGAGTGACAGCTCCATCAAATAATGATTTGATGTAATAACCATTGAAACTAGTCATTGCGTTATCGTCAAGTTCAATGTACCTGTTGTGGAGTAATACTCTTTATAACCTCTTTCTCTACCCAGTCAATGATGTGGTCTTGTTCTGTTTTACGCTTGAAGTTCTCTAATTCCAGTTGGTAGTCCTATAAATGGGTAAATATTTAATTTTTGAAATTGTTACAGCACAATGATTTTTGTGATTTATGGAGAATTATAGTGAATATATGACTGACACAATAATTTTTGATTTCTCTGTGAACTTTTATTTGAACAAAATAATTGAATGGTAAAATACTCCATCATAATTCAGTAATATTGCATCTTTGAGTTATGAAGGTTCAATATTCTAATCATAACAGCATCATGACAGCATGGGAGGCTTCATTAGATATAAAACTTTGAAACAGTCTCTCAATTATTTGTGTAAAAAGGTAAATTTAACACAGTAAAAAAATAAGTGAACAACTTATTAAACYTTTTACAGTGTTAAATTTATCTTTTTACACAACTGTTTCTTTAGAAAAAYCGACACAGCCTACATTAKTTCACKGCTAGTTTCCAACTACTCAAAAATATTTTCAAACGCCATCTGGAAATATGGTAAATTTTATTTCATGAAGCCATTTTAAGTGATTGTGTCATCAGCTCTTGACACTGAAATGATGGAGTATTTCACCATTTGATCATTTAATAGTTTAATAATATACAGAATTAGCAATTGTTTCAGGCATCATATGTACTCTATGCTTACAAGTCGTTTCTTGACTTCATTTTTGACGTTATGTAACCTGTTACGATACTCAAGTTCCATACCCATAACATTGTTTTCCTATAAAAAGGATAGTTATTTTTAGTGTCATTGTATTTGATTGCAGCAGCTATAATTGAATCTCCATAAGGTCCATGTGACCTTAATTAGTATACTGGAGTATCTTAAATTGCTGTACAAATGATTTGCCTATGCAGTATTTCATGAACACAGTTTTAGATTAAATGTGATTTTGGCCTGTTTGTGCAATTTCATGCATTTTCATCACAAAAAATACATTTTTAGTAAATAGAGCAGCGATCTCTGTTAAACAATGAAGCAAAACATCAATTTAACCAGTTAAGCAATCTATTGAAACACCAATTTGGCTAGCTATCTGCATTAAACGGTACAATGAAACACTGATCTACGTAAAATGGTGCAGCGAAATAGCGATTGATTAACTCGCTGCTTTCGAAGATCCATCGAAACACTGAAATACAGAGAAATACATTTTTAGTAAATAGAGTGAAACATCAATTTAATCAGCTATCAGTGTTAAACGATCAAGTGAAATACCGATTTAATAATAATATAATAATTTATTATAGCATATTACAAAGTTTCTATGCTTCACAATAATTAATTTAATTAATGATAATTAATTTAATTTAATTAATTTAACCAGCTAGCTTCAACCATGTAATGATCTAGCGAAAACAGCACTTTGACTCTTAGATATCTGTGTTAGATGATCCAGCGTGATTTCCCAGCCAAAAACCACTCAGAGTTGATGAAAATAGACTAAAATTGAAAAGAAAAACACACCACACATGTTTAGTTTCATTGAATTTCATGTATTTTTCTATATTGCTAAAAAACATATTTAACATATTAAAAGTACTCGTGTTGATAATGCAGATAAAAATGAAGTAAAGAGCTCAAGAGTTAAAGGATAATTTAGTTAAAAGGTGAAATGGTTACATTATATAAAAATACATTGTAAATTAATATAAATGTAGTATTATAAACAGAAGTAAATATAGGTTACCTGTACGGAGCACGAGGTCAAGAAGTACTGATACATGACCAGGGATCAGATAACATCATATTTCTTATTGACTCCAATCCCCCCTGTGATATTTTTGAAATCTCTGTGGGAAGCTCATGTTAGTCAACATAGATAGCTGCACCATTTGTCAAGGATGTATTTTTGGTGCTGATGGCGCAAACTCTGTGGGAGACCAGTGCCTTGCTAGATTGTTACATAGATAGCTGGCTAAATTGGTATTTCGCTGGATTGTTACATAGCTAGCTGGCTAAATTGGTATTTCGCTAGATTGTTACATAGCTAGCTGGCTAAATTGGTATTTCGCTGGATCGTTTAACATGGATAGCTGGTTAAATTGACGTTTCGCTACATCGTTTAACAGAGATCCCTACTATATCAAATTGAAAATGTAATTTTCTGTTCATAGCAGAATATTGCACTACATCAAAACCATTGAAAATAAATATCATACAACCATAAATATTATGACATAAAAAGTTGCTTATTTGTAGAGAGTAGAATCCCATCTTGGTAAATAATATGCAATCATTTGATGCTTTACCTTTAAGATTTCAGCWATGTCAATACGACACAGCAGCATATCATCTAACTTCATCTCATTTGCAATTGCATTATTGAGTGCATCAATTTGTTGATTCCGAGAAAGATTAAAATTATCCAATATTTCCTGGAAAATGAAACATTTWAAATCAAACAGGCTCTATTGATACGCAATGATACTGATAACCAGTTTGAAGAACATTTAGCAAAAAAAAATAATCAAACTGAAAATCAGAACTTTGAGCTCTGATTGACAGATTTCTTTCAAGACATACATATATGTACATTTAAAAAACTCATACATAATTAATGAGCTACTAGTCCAATAGAATGAGCCTATTTGGTCACATGCATGGACCTTTATATCCGATAAAACACTCCTTATTAGTATTCTTTATATAAAGAATACTAATAAGGGTGACCTTTATYAGATATAAAGGTCCATGACCCTAGCAAAGRTCTCAGGTTTGAAACCTGATCATTGACCAATGCAGGATGTCAACTGATYTCAGTGAACAGCCAAGAGCGGTTCTATTTTACTTTATGCGTATTCAATGTGGGATGACAAGAGTGCTTTGTAAAGTGATTCRCGCATTATCAGTTTGCCCCATTTATCTCTGAACATATTTGAACGGCAATTTCTCCAAGAAATTTTCAAATTAGTGTTGGAGTTTTTTAAGCCGTTTAAAACATTCGAGATCGTGTTTTATCAGGTATAAAGTTTTAACTATTATTTCAACATGTGAAAGTCATTGTTATATTCTGACACCATTAATTCACATGCTTTGCCATACTTTAGAGTAGTTGTCAAGTAATTCAGCTACAGATGATCCAGACTTCTTGATAACCCAGATGAATGTACCTGCCATGACAGCAGCTAAGTATGTCTGCAAGATAAACATCAGGGACCATAATTTATACCTATAATAGCTCTCCATTATTCAGACTAGATATCTGTGCCATATCTTTCACATCATATTTGGTAGTAACAATAGCGCAGCGCAGACATGCTAAAAATAGATTTCAGAGATTAGACTCCCCATGGAGATTAGGACAGACAAGAGGTCAACTTTGTAGTGAATGCAATGTACAGATTCATGAYATCCAGATAGAGTGCCTCAGTCTTTCAAAGAATTGAAGAGAATTGKGTAATAAAGTATTTATACCRTTCTTCAAGGCTTCTCATGACCTTGAATGCTTGTTCTTGTAGTCCAACAATATCAATAAATACGTAACAATGTTGCTACATCGACCAAGCACAGATACTTAACATGGTTCGCATGAAGCCTGTATTACTGCTCCACTATACAGTACATTATGAAGCTCTATGAAGCAAGTCAATCTTCATAATAATGGTCGCTCTTATCTTGCCTGTCACGTCGCATAAAACGGGAATCGACATATTTTCGTTCGCTTTTAAAGAAGGGTTTGTCTGTCATATGTCCAAGTCCTTCATCCTCTAGCGCATAGTTAGACTTAGATAATACAAGATAGTTTATTAAACAAAAGATAAATTGCAGTCAAAGCCGAGCTGAATTGGGTTACAAAGTCATGTAACTAAAAACTATTTAAAAAAATACAGCTTATGTATTGATATGGAAGCAATTCGATATCGTCTATGAGACAGCACATGGCCAGGATGAATGGGTTCCTATATACAGTCTCTTACGCGAACAACCAAGTCAACTCCCTTTCCTGATAYTTTTTACATCTCAATCAGCATTTTATTTGCTTGACAGGTTATCTGGATCATTTTGAAGCTTTGGACCGGTAAAATCGCCACTTTCTGTCAAAACTACTGCTTTTTGGAACAAATTTAATGTGGCAAACGTAAATTCCACACACATTTCTCTTGTATTAAATCTCAATGTTTGTCCGCCTCCAGGCAGGGGGTTGAAAATCTGTGACGTCATGTCCGCACTGTGCTACTGCCCAATAAAAAAGGAAGCAGCATAGAAAACGCTTACTGACAAACTTCAAGTTTGAAAGCAGCAAAGCTTTGGCATTCAAACCAAAATTAGAAAGAAATATACAGTGTACATTATCCAGCGTTCATTCAAACATTTCATTGTATTACAGATAGTTTTGAAATATTATTTTCGATAATTTCTGTATTACAACTAAAAAAATATGTATGCAAAGTTCTGTTTGTTTTGTTCCTTTAAAAGTAAAGTCTGAATAATAGCTTAGGCGCAGTGTAAACAAGCCTCATTAAGGGGTGGGTARATTATATTGTACAATCAGTAACATCAGCCTTAAAAATGGACCAATGTCTCTTAAGTGTAAATAATGCTTATTTGGAAACAATAGCAACAAGGTCCGCATGATGGTATCATTTTCACAAATACTAGACCTCTGTGTTCTATGTATGATCCTACCTCTTCATGAATAACAAACAACTCTTTTGACAAAGCATAAGCACCCAGGCCACCAAACAACATTAAATGACCTTGAACACAAAGTAACACATGTCACAAATGATGAAAAACAAGATAACCAAATTCAATTTCTGCCATCTGGAATAATTCTTACCGCTACAGCTACACACGAACACAAAGTAATGGCTAGARTAAAATGTCTAGAATGAATACTTTTTTAATAATACATTTTTTAATACAAATTTTTTACCTGTTTCTCCAGTCTTCTGCTTGAGTTTAGCACTAACATCTCTAAAAAACTGTCCAAACTCTGGTTCTATTACAAGACAAATKAAAACATGGTAATTACATATTATGTATGGCTGAATTACCTCAATAATTTACAGTGCAAGGTACAGGTCTCTGGAAAGCAAAGATCCCAATACAATTTTCAAGATATATGCCATATTAAAACATAATTAAATACATTCCAACAAAAGGATCCTGTAAGGGCATTAGTTATGTGAGTTTTACAACGGTTTTGATGAGGGTCTTTTTTTCTGGTTTTCAAGATACTGTATATGCCTTAAAACGTAAATATAGTCTAAAAACAGGATCGTGTAAGGTTTTGGCATTATTTATGTGGGCTTTACGACAGTTTTACATGATTTTCAAGATATTATGTGCCTCACAATATAGTACTGTGGGTCTTGCTTGAGTCCTTGCTTGTAAATGTTTCGTGATTATATAATGCGTACATGAACTGTAGACATTTACTGTGTTTTCAAGCATTCTACATTGTTAAAGACTCTTGACTTGGAGTTTCTTGGACTTTCAACCAACCATGAAATTACACATAYCAGTTTCATGTATAAGTGTTGCTGACAGGAGACTTGTTGAATATGTCTATAACTAACTTTCATTGATTTGTTTTCTCAACAAATGCATTTTATTTGATTTAGTATGCATTATATAATCATGCAATATTTTCAAGTGCAGACTTTCAAGACCCACAAAACTACTGTATTTGCATATAATATGTTGAAAATTATTCAAAACCGTCGTAGAACCGTATTTTATGTTATTATATAGGGTCTTTGCTTTACAGATCCAGAAAATGAAGACCCTCAACAAAACCATGGTAAAACCAATGTAATAATGCCAAAATCTTGCATGATCCTGTTATTGGAACGTCTTTTATGTTTTAAGGCATATATCTCAAAAATTATATTGGGGTCTTCTTTAAAATCACATTTGTCATAATAAAGCTRCAGAGCAAGATACCCAGATTCTGACATTACTGTAAAATGAGTTATAATTTTAACAAAAAAAAAAGAGTACAATACATCGTTTTCTTTTCTTTATAATTATTACTGTACACTTGAGTGCTTTTTTATGGTGGGGGTGGGGGTGGGGAATGGGGTCGGGACCAGGAAAGAGGAATTAGGCAAATAACCATCTTGTTTTGAAGCTAAGTTTTATATGTTTTACTCTAGAATTAAGAACCTGTTTTAAGAACCTAGGTAGCCTAAAATTGTGTTAACTACCATTTCTATAAGATGCTGTCTAGGCTACTTCCAAAAAAGGTAGGTTTCTACTGTATGTGAGTTGATTACACCAGATATTACCTTTCTTTTCAACCTCAGTCTGACAGAACCTTGTCACTGCAGGAAAACTGTTAAGATAATCAATTGACTGATTGGAGTAAAAAGGACAGTTATATTTAAGTACATTCAGGAGGAGCCGACASGGTCTGTTCTTCTAAATAACTGTTCTTGTAGGAATTTTTTCTCACAAAAGGGATATTATTTTTTCCTTCTTTAAAATAATTCTGTGTCTGCCAAACCAAGGCAACCAAGGTCAAGAAAGGCTTATAAAACGTTTTTATGGTCAAAATTGGTTTTATAACGTTAATAAAATACCTTTTTGTGGCCCGAATTAGACTGATTCCATAAGTCGCAGCATTCGCTCCTCGATTTTTCGGTTTGTTGCTCAAACTAGCGACTTATGTACTTTATCAGAAACGACTGTACAAACGAAAACGAGGCCGTTGTGCATATTTAATTAGCTCGGAAGTGGATTCACACTATATAGTAGCCATTGGAATATTTCTATATCAAGATCGACTGTATTAAGATTATTAACGTTTTACCAGGAGTTTCTAATGATTGTTAGGATGTATTTGTGGCAAGATGAAATGCTGATGAATGAAATGATAAATGTGTWTGAGCTTTTAATCAATACAAGGTGTGGAAAGAATTTAGTTGCGACAGTTATGCGGCAACTGTCTGGATATTCAAACAAAATCGAAATTACAGATCGGCATCTACTCCTTTCTAAAATTAACACATTCGTAGTCCACGGTTTTTCAAAGTAATGTTAAGTTAGATAGAAAATCAATAGCACTTGAACTTGCAACATTTTAAATTATTCGATTGTTCATGGTCATTTCCTGGCACTTGTTTACTTACATAATTTGGCAAAAGTACAGATAATCACAAGCCGTTTCATCAGAGTTTAAACTTTCTAKGAAAGTGTCAGTGGAATGGAAATGCATTCATTTTTCTTTCATTKAAGAGTATCAATGTGGCTTCCTACAGTTGTTTTTTGACCATACATCTCATTTTAAATTCGCTTTTTGAAAATCTTGCTATGCACCGATTTGTTTCGTGTTTGGAACAGTATTAAAGCATTGACCAAAGTTTTGTTTGGCATGATATTTAGCTCTCTCAACATTACCTAGGCAACGCAATTTGCATTTTGTCAAAATTCGTTTTTGCCAAATATCTGAAAAAATTGATGAGATCCAGAAAAGCGGTAGACATCATCATTAACTTCAAACTATTGCATAATGTTTTTGAATTGTTAAAAACAAATCTGCAAAAATCACATCCATGAAATATTTGTCAATATTACTCGAAATMGAACAGATGAATTTGCTGTTAACTCATCAATTTTTTGAGATACTGTATTTACCCATGTATAAGCCGCACTTTTTTTCCCAAAAAATCGTTCCCAAATCGGAAGTGCGGCTTATCTACGAGAAGACTTGAAAAAATGCCCAATAAAAACTAATTTGCATAAATTAGCATTCACGGTGCTACTTACTGCAGACAGGACATCGTGTTTTACACGGCAGGAAAAGAAATTTTAATCCAAACTTCTCAGTATTACTATAAATTCTCTATTTTCCATCTTTTTTTTCCTCAAAAACGTTCCTAAAACTTGGGGTGCGGCTTATCTACGAGAGCGGCTTATGCATGGGTAAATACGGTATTTGGGAAAAAACAATTTCGTCAAAATGCAAATTCCGTTGCCTAGGTAATGTTGATAGAGCTAAATATCATGCCAAACAAAACTTTGGTCAATGCTTTAATACTGTTCCAAACACGAAACAAATCGGTGCATAGCAAGATTTTCAAAAGCGAATTCAAAATGAGATGTATGGTCGAAAAACAACTGTAGCAAGCCACCTTAAATCATGCCCTTCTCCAACAAGCCTTGCCTGATTGCCTACTATATACTTTGTCCTTGGAGAGACTACTATAAGGTTATGTGTTGGAATTTAAAAAAAACATTGTCTCTCTGAATCCCATAGGAAGACACACAAACATATTCTTTCCGGCTTCTATAGCTTCTAAGAGCTCGTTKTTTGAAGGGCTTCTATCACATTATTACTTGATATCTCTATCACGGTATAAAAATCAAGATGGCGTCTCAGAATTTTTCTCAAACCGGGAATCGTTTTTCAATCGATCATGCAGTAAGCTCTAAATAAGATCATCACTGATTGGCCAAAATCAATATTTTTTTAGAATTACTGTAATTGGCCCATTCCAATTTTTTTTGAATCGGATCATTTCTGATAATAAAGTTCATAAGTCGGACCTGTGARTGAAAAAAAAATCGACAGAGAGGGAATTGGTACCGAATTATGGAATCAGTCCAGGCCCAAATGACTTTTTATTCCTGGCATCTTTTCTCCTGAATTTCYCTCTGACAACCAGTTGTGATTTACAGCTGGCTGGGACATAAGAACAGATATATTTCTCCAAGAAAACCTGTCAACTCCTCCTATACATTCTTTCATAACTAGAAATTCACATGCTTGAGTGCAATACTTTCTTCATGATGATAAACAAACATTCAAACTTAAACTGTATGATAAGAGAACACTGGAAATTGGTTGGTTGTACACAATCCACAAAAACTCCAGAATACCTGAAAGATGCTATTAATGAAATGACAATAATTGTGCAAATCTATTATTATCGATATCTATTATCTATATTATTATCATTATATCACAATTTGTTTCAATATTCCATGTACCTTGTTTTGGATGCCTGTAGAAATCTTGATGTACCCGAGACTAAGGGAAAAAATAACACTATTAGACTGACCAATGTGCCAAATAATTATATTTGCTAACTAATTGTTTGGGAACAATTCAGCCTAAATTAGACCTGTGTAGACATTGGGTATTCCAAAATAAGGTTTTCCCTTCTCCCAACTGGAATTCCAAAATTGTATTCTACTTCCCTAAGAAATCAACTGATGGAAATTCAATATTTGATCTGGCTTCTCTTTCAGGGAATACAATATATGTAGGCTGGTACAGTTTTTTAACAACGCAATAAAACCTAAACAGATGGTTCAAAAATAATCTAGCTTCTTGGAAGTGCTTCAAAAATGATGCAAAAATCAGTGCTGTTGTAATCAATACTTACATACTGTTAAGTACATCTACAGACAGAAAAGACAGAAAATGAACTAATGACAGACACCATTAATTTTTTTGTCAATGAACCATACACTGACAACATGTAATGGAGGGTGCAAAAATCACCAACATTCACAATTAAATGGAAGATTTAAATTGAGTTAAAATGAATTTCAAAAGGCGCAATTAAAAGTTTCTTTCAAMGTACTGTAAGTATTTTTCATTCACAAACATATTAAATGTTTTGGAAATGTTTTTATAATGATTTTTCAACTCTTAGATCATGAAATTCTGAAATCATTCATAAGCCMTTTCCCTTGGTTTCCCAAAATGCCACCCATCTCATATTTTCTGGAACATTGCTTTTTAGGTATTGGCACTCTCATGAACCTTAATCAGATCTTTGACAAAAATGTCTACATCATGACATAACTAGCTTGATGACAGTTATTTGCTGTAACAAACAATAAAGCTCTGGTATTCCAGCAAACTCAAAAATTGCAAAAATTACTCCAATGTTAAGTTGTTGTTGGTATCTTAGAGTGCTCGCACTAAATGCGTGAAATATAAATAAATACTACAAAATAGGTGATAAATGGGTCATTCCACAGTATTTTGATTTCTCACATTTATTTTTCAATAGTCGACTTTAGATATTTTGGTTCAGTGACCATGCACAAAAGAATTGCAGACGAGGCTCCAGGGAAATAAAAGAATAAATCAAGATTATCCATTGTTTCCCCGGAGCCTCGTGCATGAGGCGAGTGCGTTCTTTTGTACATAGTCGTCGAAACAAAATATCTAAAGTTGACTATTTGAACCAAACTGTCTGTTTTTGGTGTTAAAATAATGTTAGATAGTTGAAGTTAACTTTTTTGAGAAAAGAATCATAAAATGTTTCGCAATCTTAGAATAAATAACAAATTATTATTATAGAAGAAATTCATGAAATAGCTGTTGCGGAGACTACAAATTATGATTTATCGAATTACAATGAAACAAGGAGCCAGATAGACCAGAAAGTGACCTGGACATGCGCCCCTAGTTGAGCAGTTTCACAAAATATATGAGTCAAATCGATAGCGTCATTGCACTAGTAAATATTCGAATTCCATTGGCAAAGTGTAGTCTCCGCAACATTTTTACACCTTGAAGTTTTTCCTGTATGCTCCCTGATAAACCTTTTTGCTTGAGGTTTTGAGAAGTTCTAATTATTAACTAGGGAAAGCATATTCACAAAAAAGCTTTAAGTTTTTGCCATTAGTTTTCTAATTATGTCACTTTTAATTTTGTTGCGGAGACTACATTTTTAAAAGAAATCTTCTCAAAGTGGTTAAAAAATGTTTGCCTGTTGAAAATAAAACAAACATAGAATGTTTATAGAACTTCTACATTATATTTACTTTTTAAAGTGTGTTAGTAAGTATCCATGTTTGACTGCTAATTATTACTGTGGGCTTCCTGTGGTAAGAATCTAAGTATTTGCAGTTACATAAAATATAAGGATCATGGGTATTTTATTGAAAATTCTAAACTACAATGTCTCCAAATACTGAAATGGGATGGTATAGAATTATAGCAAAAAATTTGGCAGGAATCATATAAAATGTAAAATAAGTATTCAATAACCACTTTATGCTTAAAAAAATAGTCATTTTAATAATTAAACTAAAAAACTCATACATAATTAATGAGCTACTAGGACAATAGAATGAGCCTATTTGGTCACATGCATGGACCTTTATATCTGATAAAACACTCCTTATTAGTATTCTTTATATAAAGAATACTAACAAGGGTGACCTTTATCAGATATAAAGGTCCATAACCCTGACCAAAATCTAAAATTTAATTGGTGACWTTCCACTTTCAATGAATAGTCCTTTTTTCTTGCTATGTTCATTTTTTGTTTGTTTTAATTATTACCTAAAATGACTGTTCTTTAAGCATAAAGTAGCTATTAAACACTTTTTTAACATTTTATATTTATTCCTGCCAGATYTTTTGCTTTAATTCTATACTATCCCAAAAATTTAATGTTGGCAACACTTATGGGGTAATGTCCGCAACAAAGAATTTAGTCTATAGTTTCCT